CCTGTGAGGCGCCTTATCGTATGAAATCACATCGCAGCAATTAGCATCGTATTTTTTGGTATTGCAAATTCGTATCGCATCGCAGTTTTGTGTATGAGCCCTTAAGAGCCATAACGCGCACCTCTGCCTACCCCTTTGGGGATTAAAAGGCTTGATGTTATGCATGCAAAAGAAGACTGCCTACGATTATGACATTATTAACTTTCTTCTGGAATGGAACAAAACTGCATTCTAACCAATCCACGAACAAATCCTCATCGAACATCAGCTACAGTTTTTACTAATTTTATTACAATGCAGTATAGAAGATTTCAAGGTAATGGATCTTGAAATATTCTTGAACTATTATTTCCATATTTACAAGCAACAGAGTAAATACCAGTTTATACAGGTGCTCGAGCCAATCGCTCTTGTTCGTACTTGAGACGATGGTTGACAGCCTCTTGAGAACTGCACTTCAATGTTCAGGTGTCTGTCTTTTGTTTGTTTTCTTTCCTGAAGAATTTTGTAGTATTTTAAAGTATCGAGAACTGTGTAACAACAAATGAAATATTCTGTGCATTTATTTCTTCTCTTCTAGATTACTCGAACTTGTGGTTCGTTTGTCTGTCGTTTGCCAAAATCACTTTATTGTTCAGAGGTCTTTTAATCTCATTTTGTTTAGGATCTTTTGTGGCTAGATTCTAAATTCTAATACTATAGAAATCAGATATTTTTTAATTTTATTGAGACAATTTTAATCACAGGTCAAAGCTAAAAAGTATTACTGGGTTTTTAAAAAATATATCTCAGTAGTAGCACGGAGTCTGGAAATGTGCCCGGTATATGGCAATAGGCTCACCCCTATTACATGGGACTCATAACATAAATAGTGAAAAGTGGGTGTTACTTCTGTGTGCACCTCTGCCTACCCCTTCGGGGATAAAAGGCGTGATGTTATGTTATGTCAAAGCTAAGTATGTCTACCTATTACGATCAACGGTTGTACTTAATGACGTCATATTCCGATTTATCCAACAAGAACAGACCATAATGCCCTTTAGAAAGTAACTTCTAGAACCAAATATAAAAACAGAAATAAAAAACAGCTCGGTGACAACTGGGGCTGGTCTTACCGTCTGTCCCACATCTCCAATATACGGTAGGCGTATTCGCACTGAAATTGATGCGTGTATAAAATATCCAGACGATCTGGAAACCCTCGTCAGTTACGACATACTCTTGACAGATGGCGAAGTATCTTCAAACATAAGTGCTTCTAAATTCAGTTATACTGTTTTTATTACTGTACCTACCACTTTTTATTTTGATACTACGTAATAAAAACTTGTAGGTACTTTTACATAAGAATAACTACTGTTTTTATAATTATTATCCTGGGGCATACTAAATTAACTAAAAGTCGTGGGTTACTTACATGCAAATACTGAGAAAACCTCTACTAGTTTAGAACCACAGAGGGGTTCTTCCTCATAAGCAGCGTGCACGGTCATGGCGATGTCGCGCAGCCAACACTAGCCAGTAGGCTAGTATTGGCTTGCGTCACTGGTGTTGTTATTTGCGCTACGAGCCCAACGCGCCCTCTGCCGGACATCACAGAGTTGGAAGCAAACGCACATAATGTTCTCAGTAATTGCAAGAGAATAACCCGCGACCTTTAGTTATCAATAACTACCTATTATTTTTGTCTGAGTTAACAGAAAGTCATTGATACCCCTTTTTCTCGCTAGTTTTGTACTATCATTCCAATTACAAGTATGACTAGTTGTTTCCCGCAACCTCTACCGCGTAAAATGATTTTTGTTTTAATTTTCCAACATAAAAGTAGCAGATGTTACTTTTTAGTACATCAGCTACCTGTCAATAAAAGTCCCGTCAAAATCAGTGTAGCCATTCCAGAGATTAGCCAGTACAAACAGACAGACAGACAGACAAATATTATAAAAAAAGTTATTTTGGTATTTGTATCGTATGTATTCATAAATATGTAGTAAAATACAAAAAAAAACAGACACTCTATTTATCTGTTTAGATTGCCTTATCTCATCTAGAATTTTGCGTACAAAATAAACAAAATACAATTATTTGTACAAGCAGTGCTTGCATTAACAATAACACATTATTAAGAAAAATATATAAAATACAGTGAATGCTTTGCCAACCCTACAAGTTATTTCAAGTTTACGATCGAGAGAGTCACGCTCGTATAGTGGCGTAGGTGTTTCGTGTGCTGCCGAATATGACACGACCACTTTATTCCCAATATCTACAACGTAAGAGTATTTTGTCGAACGTCTATGTGGTTTAAAATAAAGAACAACTGTATGACTACTCAGAGTCATTTTCTTATTAATAACTAACATGCGTTATTAATTGCTTTCTTTGTGAACGTACAAAACGAACAAAACCTAACATAAAATCACGCCCCCGAAGCGGTAAGCAGAGTACCACTGCACAAGTAATACTTACTTTTCATGGGTGAGCCCTTGCCATGTACCGGGTGCAATTCCTGACTTTGTGCTACTACTGAGAATTTAAATAACGACTAGTAATTCCCGAGCGAACTCGAGATCCCTTGCACGACAATCGCAGTTGCGTCCACTCGGCCAACGAGTCAGATAAAACTTAAATATGATAATTAATATTTATAAGACGTAATCAACAGCTTTCATACAGGCTAACACATTACTAAAATGCCATGGAAATAATCGCAAATACAGAAACACTTTTTCCCTTATACCACAAACACAAAACACGTTCATTTGCTGCTCACTTTTTTATGGGATAAACCGAGCAGGCGGATCACCTGATTGTCAGCAATCGGCGTCGCCCATTGACACCTGGAACACCAGAGGCGTTACAAGTGCGTTACCGGCCTTTTGGGATTAGGAATTTGACTACTGTTGGGGATTCAGGGATTTAGGAGATTGGGCCTCCGGTAACTACACTCACACGACGAAACAAAATGCAAGCGTTGTTTCACGTCGGTCTTTTGTAATGCCGTGGTATCACTCCGGTCGAGCCGGCCTATTCGTGCAGAAACATGGCTCTCCCACACTTAAAATGTAACAGGTCTATTAACATACATATTTTAAGTAATAAAATGACAATTAAAAAGTTCCCTTCAGTATTCCTAGCAGTAATCCAGTTCGACCCACAAACTTATTGAAGCAACCAGCAATCGAACCACTACTTCAAGCCCACTAACTTTACAGCCCTCATCCCATTACCTCCATATTGCTACATAAAACGGCAAATGATTCTAAATGCATACAGATAAATAAAATTGGTGTGTCTGTCAGTAAGAGGGAATAGAAATAATCGCATACATTATTACATTACATACATATGATACATAATTATTTATACCAAAATTACACTTTTTACAATTTAGACACTAATCTCTGAAATGATCGATTTTGACGGGACTTTTATTGGCAGGCAGCTGATGCACTAAGGAGTATCATATTTTATTTTAGAAAAATGCAAATGTAGTGTACACCTTGTCTATTTAAAATGTGTGAAATCATGTTAGTTACACTATTTATAACTCAAGAATAGCTAATTCGATTTAGTTGAAAATTGGTGAACAGGTAGCTTAAAACCAGGAGAAAGACTTAGGATACTTCTATCCAAGGCCTTCCCGCAATTAATTCCCGCCTTTTAATCCTACTGGCATGGGAAAAAACGGGATCGGACGAACGAATTCGCAGGCAGAAGCTATATATTTCTAATAAAACTAACTTTTAAGTTTCCTGTTTAACTTTTATTTTGCGAGGTGACGTTTTACAGCCGACACAGAAAAATGTAGCGTGCTACCAGTTTTATTTCATTGGAGCTGTAAAAATAAATTCTTGGATTTATGTGTACAGGAGCGATTCGGTGGCTACCTAATTGGTGTTAAGGTCGTTGTCTTCAATTTGACCTTTAGTTGCAAAGATGTGAAAATATATTCATACATGTATTGTTTTCAGCACTTATGAAGAATACTGAAACGTTACTCAATATTTTAAGTCATGCTTAAATATCGTGCCATCTCTGTCATTATACAAAGAATTTGTAGAAATAGAACTATACTTGAGCGTGACTTAAAATTGAGTAGCGTTTGAGTATTCCGACATTACTCATTAAATGAACAACATTGGAGCTACCTTATGCAATCATATTATCAACTTTATGCGGTTGACTGTAGCCACGCAGTATACATGTTCACTTTTCTCCTTCGTCAACTGCACTAAGTCAGGTTTGACTATAATTGCACGCATATATCGACTCCTTTAAGGCGCCCGCTTCTCATGCATGAGGGTGCGGGGTTGAAACCTACCAACGGTGTTGATGACCAAAACCCAACACGAAACCATAAACTTGATATTGATTAATTAGTTCAATTTTTGTAACTAGATGGCGTTGCCGCGATTAAAAGCAGGCTATGGTTTCGTTACAACGACTTGCTTAAGACAGTAATTTTTTGTATGTATTGAGATCAGATCAGAACAAATATATTATGAACCAGCAGTTCAAGCACTAATACGAAGTATCAATTAAACCCTATTAGTAGCTACAATAGGCCACGTTACTTCGGTAATTAACAAACGGCAAGTACTAATGTGACTTTTTCCGAGTTATATGTACTTTCTAAGATTATTTAGACACCACTGACAAGCGGTGAAGGAAAACACCGTGAGGAAACCTGGGCTTATAATTTCAAATTTTAAGTTTGTTATCGCCAACTCGCATTGAGCAAGCGTGGTGATTAATGCTCAAACCTTTTCCGTGTAAGAAGAGGCTTTGCTGATGATCGACTATGTGCAGTTGCTGCAGTGTAATATGTCTGATGTTCAGCCTAAATAGATAAAGATACATAGATATTCCAAAAAACAAATAAAAATGAAATCATCATGATTTTTAGTCTAATTATCAGTAAAATGAAAACATATATGCAAAAAACAATCAATCAAAATTTCTACTTCAGACTTTTCACTCCATTAAGTTGGATACGTTCACGCTTGTATGTTGTCAGCCATCTTCAGGAGTATGCTTCTTAATAGGTTTGCAAGTTGTGGATAGTTTTGACCAAAGAGCGGCCCTCGAAGTTGGGGTACGCATACCTGTTGAAACAAAACCATATTATTTAGTTAACACTTTAAACACAAAACTTGCTCACAAAAATCTTACGAGAGAATGGGAAAGTAGTAGGTACTCAAATATTGATATTTAATGAGTTCACCTTAATCAGAAATTACTTAGTTTAGTTAAGTAATGAAGATGTGTAAGATTTCATTGTCAGGTTGAGGTTGAGGCAATCAATCAATTAGGAACGCTTTATCTATACAGACACATAGATAAAATTGGAGTTAGTGTTATATTAAAATAACCAATTATTAGACCAGGAAGGAACTTTTGAACGTCAAAACAAAATATTTAAATATTAAAAAAAATGTCAGTCTGTAGGTCAGTGCTCTAGTGAAGCTATTTGCTCGTTCCAAAGTGTTTCAAAAGTTCCAAAATACACATGAATATACCTACGACACGTACCAAATTTTTTTTTTTCAACTTTTGTTTATCTGTCTGTTTGTTTGTTCTGGCTAACCTCTGGAATGGCTTTTATTGGCAAGTTGCTGATGTACTAAAGAGTTCGATAGGCTACCTTTATTTAGGAACAAAAAAAAGATGTGTTCTAAAATTCATATTCGACGCGGTCGAAGTCGCCAGCAACAGCTAGTAGTTCATAAGAATAAGTGATGAAATGTTTGTCTCCAAAACATTGGTCTATGACACAAAATAAGATTCAATAGGAACTATATAACCAGCGTTAATGGGTGCGGGTTGATGATTGTCTAATTTGGTCACGGCGCACTAAATTTCACGACTACTGCCAATCTGGCTGAACAGCGATATCTTCAGGGATACTACACAAATCACTGTTTTATATAATATCAACTATATATTGTTATTAACACTAATAATCTTCTTACGATCTAATGGACTATGGAACTAACTAAGCAAAAAACATTCACCGAGGGTCATTAATCGGCGGAGAATCTTGACACCGCGATTCAGAAAATGGACATTACTAACAACGCCATCTAGTTTCAAAATTGGAACTAAATGTTCTGGAACTAATTACGGTTGACGATTGAACAATGATATTGACAGAAGTACAATTTAACCCAAATATACTCACTACAGCTAGTACGACGACCATTAATGGACAGATCAGGTTGATGAAGAGTGAGAGGATAGCTCTGACTATCCACCACAGCCCCACGACCACCAGTATACTGGCTATCATTATCTAAACAAACACAAATCATTATTGATCAATCAGAACGACAAAGAAATATTATGGTTACTCATTGTTTTTTATGTACAGTAAAAATAAATCCTTACTAATATTATAAATCTGAAAGTGAGTTTGTTTGTTTGTTTGTTTGTTCCACCTTCACGCCGTAACTACTCAACCGATTGCTTTGAATTTTTGCAGACGTAAAGTGAGAAGTCTGGATTAAATAATAGGGTATTTTTTATCCCGGAAAAAATTGATATTTCCAAGGGAAAACAAAAGTATTGGTATAGATGGCGCTGTGTGTATTGGTATATGTCACATACTTTTTATTCTTTTGTGACGCGAGCGAAGCCGCGGGTAAAAGCTAGTAAATAATAAGTTACAGGCACGAATCCGCCTTATAATGTATGAAAGTACTATTTTGAAAATAAATAAAAAATTAGAATTTACAATCAAAATACTCATAAATAAAAGATTAAAATTCAAAATGGCAGTTTAAAATTTCAATTAAATCAGTTTTACTGCCCCGTATACAATGCGGTACATTTATCTATCACAATAATTTCAAAGTCAAAATCATTTATTTCGATTAGACCAGAAAGGCACTTTTGAACGTCAATAAAAAATAATTAAAAGTGAAGCTATTTTCTCACTACAAGGTGTAATGAAATGGTCCCCCACTTCAGGGACCTTCTCAAAAACTAGTTTAATAAATATAACATAACATAACATAACATAACATAACATAACATAACATAACATAACATAACATAACATAACATAACATAACATCACGCCTTTTAGGCACAGGTGCACATTATGCCACTGTACAATGTAACACCCACTTTTCACTATTTATGTTATGAGTTCCATGTAATAGGGGGTGAGCCAAATAATTTAGCCAAATATTGCCATATATCGGGCACAGTTCCAAACTCCGTGCTACTACTGAGAATTTTTTAAAACCCCAGTAATACTCTGCCCGACCCGGGCATCGAACCCGAGACCCCTTGCCCGGCAGTCGCACTTGCGACCACTCGGACAACGAGGCAGTCGATATTTAATAAATATATTAAACATATGATGCATAAAATAAGGTACAAAGCTGTTACCTGGGCATCTTCATGGGACCGCAACCAGTTCCTCACAACATGCACGACGCAGCTGCCGCTGGCGGTTGGCGGACATGTTTGTGGTGCAATATTAAACTGGAATCAAAGAAAAATAGGTATAGAGGTATAATTATAATATTTAAACTCTTTTACCACATGCCGTAGTTTCTGTATTAAGCTGTGAAATCACTAATACAAGTTTATGTTAATAAAAATTGGCGGCGAGACGGGGCATTGTCATACGTATCATTCGCCGTTCACTCTACTTATTACTTAGTATAGGCCCTGGTATTGCCGCGGAGGGCTTAATGGGGTGGTTTTTAGTCAGTAAGAGTTTGACACTCCTTCTCGCCTCACCGGGCGGAGAGTCATAGGATGATCTTCCCCCTCAAAAAAAAGGTCCTGGTATAGTTTAAAACTAGTCAGGTATCCTCGAATACGTAAGTAAGTCAACGTAAGTAATATCTCCTTTACTTATTAATCTAAATCCTTACTATTATATTAAAAATCAGAAAGTGAATTTGTTTGTTTGTTTGTTCCACTTTAACGCCGTAACTACTAAACCGATTGCTTTGAATTTTTGCAGACGTAAATTTAGAAGTCTGGATTAAATAATAGGGTACTTTTTATCCCGGAAAAATTTGATATTCCCGAGGGAAAACAAAAGTATTGGTATAGATGGCGCTGTGTGTATTGGTATATATCACATTGGCTTTTTATCCTTTTGTGCGCAACGAAGCCGCGGGTAAAAGCTAGTAATATTATAAATGCGAATGTGTTAGTGTGTATGTTTGTTACACAATCATGTGAAAACGGCTGAAGGGATTTAAGCTAAATTTGGAACTGGGTTAGGTTATAATCTTTTATATTCCATGGGTCAGTCGTGGTGGCCCGGAGGTTTAAGACGCCCACTTCTCATGCATGAGGCTGCGGGTTCGAAACCTACCAACGGCAAGTACCAATGTGACTTTTTCCGAGTTATATGTACTTTCTAAGATTATTTAGACACCACTGACAAACGGTGAAGGAAAAACATCGTGAAGAAACCTTAACTTATAATTTCTAATTATAAGTTTGAAATCACCAACCCGCATTGAGCAAGCGTGGTGATTAATGCTCTAACCTTCTCCGTGTGAGAAGAGGCTTTGCTCAGCAGTGGGCATTTATAGGCTGTTGATGATGATGATTCCATGGGGACGCGATTGAAGCCGTTGGCAGAATTTTATTTTTTGAATTATTTATGTCTGCAAATCTATACTAATATTATAAAGATGAAGAGTTTGTTTTCTTGTTTGTTTGTTTGTTTGTTTGAACGCGATAATCTCCGAAACTACTAGTCCATTTGAATAATTCTTTTTGTGTTGGATAGCGCATTTATCGAGGAACGCTATAGGCTATAAAACATTACGCTACGATTAATAGGCGCTAAGCAGAGCGAGTGAAACCGCGCGGAAGTAGCTAGTAGGTTATAAAGTAACACGTCTACACGTCAATCTTTAATTTACTAGATAAGGACCGGCATTTCCTAACTACTCTGATAAATTACCTAGTTATTTATACAACATGCAACCATTCAGTATCTAAGTGACATTGCAGAGTTATATAAAAATAAAGTGTTACATACAGTATGCCCCATCATAGTCCGTTGCCACTGGTAATGATCTGTATACATGTTGTCTGCTACGTCACCGATCACCTCTGTTGCTGACATCAGCAATGTAAACAGACTTCTGTCTAGAACACGGGGTTCTGTAAACAAAATAATGTATGTTTTTATAATAACTATCGTGAGACATTTAAATTAATTAAAATCGCGGGTAAATATACTGAGAAAAGCTACTAGTTTCGAACCACTGAGGGGTTCTTCCTCATGAGCAGCGTGCGCGGTCGCGCGATGTCGATTTTAGTTAAAATAATGTATCTACATCTAAATGTATGTAATATTAATTTTATAATATTACTAGCTGACCCGGCACACTTTGTGATGTCTATAAATTTTTTCTCACCTTTTTAACATTCCCTGGACTTTCACGAATATTTGACGACCAAAATTAACCAAGTTGATTGGCAGGCATTCTAGAGTTTTAGCGAGAGTAACGAACGGAAAGTCATTTTTATTTGTTTTTATAATAACTATGGTGAGACATACTAAATTAAATAAAATCACGGTTTACTCATGTGAGTATGAGTATAGTAGAGAAATACGCTGCTCATGAGGAAGAACCCCTCTGTGGTTCGAAACTAGTATATCTTTTCTCAGTATATTCACGTGAGTAACCCGTGATTTTAGTTAATCAATTTTATTTATATACATTGTTAAACAAGTACGTTTGAAATTAAAACAATAACGTTAACCTCTGCAATGTCACTTAACAATAATTCATGTACTTTACATTCCTCAAAAAAAATATATTAAACGTAAAGATTGTATGCAACATAGCAAGAAATGCAGACTTCGTGCAGTTTTTTTATGGCATAAGCCGGTAAACGAGCAGATGGATCACCTGATGGAAAGCAATCGGCGTCGCCCATGGACACCTGGAACATCAGAGGCGTTACAAGTGCGTTATGGCCTTTTGGGGATTAAGAGTTTGTGGATCGTTGGGGATTCAGGAATTGGGGAGATTGGGGAAGGAGAGGGTAATTGGGCCTCCGGTAACCTCACTCACACGACGAAACACACCGCAAGCGTTGCTTCACGTCGGTACTCTGTGAGGCCGTAGTATCACTCCGGTCGAGCCGGCCCATTCGTGCCGAAGCATGACTCTCCCGTACTTAAATTTTTTTTAATCTAAAACAAGCGGATACAATTTCTGAAACCTGACTAATGAAATTGGGAGTAGACGTAACATTAAATTAATTATACGTAGAATCGCCTAAACAATTTCGTATAATATTCTCATAAAAATGACGCATGAGATGAGCAATTCCCATAATTACATTGTTACAGGAAGTTTTGAAATCAAATACCCCGTAAAAACATTTACAAGACTATTAAAATTAAAATAATGGGTAGCGATTATAATAGAACATATTTCACTTCTAAAAAAAATCAACAAAAACCTACCCATAATTAATAACACTGGAGAACATAATTTGTCTACTCAGTTCGTGTTTTAATTTGTAATATTTCCTCAACATTGTATTATGATTAACATAAACTTGTGATCACGTGACAAAATATCATAAACGTTTGTAATTAAAACGACAACAGCTTTGTTATATTTCGTGTTATTTTTTTACATGTTATTTATGCTTGCCTCGCGTGCCGAGTGGTTGCAAGTGCGACTGTCCGGCAAAGGGTCTAGGATTCGATTCCCGGGTCGGGCAAAGTATTACTGGGTTTTTTGTTAAATCTCAGTAGCATCATGGAGTCTGAAATTGTGCCCGGTATACGGCATTTTTTAAGGAGGCAAAATCATCAAATGTGTGCTCCCGCCTGGATGAGGCTGGAGGGAATGTCAGATTCTTACTGACTAAAAACCACCTCGTTCCTACTCCTGCACTTCGAGCTGGAGCCCCGGCAACCCGTTAAGACCTCCGCGGCTCTTATGGAGTTCTTTTTAGAGTAGGGTTTTTTCATATTATATTTCTATTAACATTTAACAAATATAGCAACCTACATGTTTATACAGCTAAATCAAATTGGATTATCTGTTTGTAATATTAAAATAACCGCTTTTTTACTACATGCATACGATACACATTCCAAAATAACATTTTTTGTCTGTCTCTTTCTCTGTACTAGTTAGATCTATTTTGACTGGACTTGGGGCAGTTAGCTGATGTACTAAGTACTAACATAGGCTACCTTTACTTCAGTTAATTAAATTGAATTGAAAAAAAAATATGTCCTAAAATTCATATTCTTCGCAGACAAATTCGCGGGGAACAGCTAGTCATAATACATATAAAACTGTCGTGTTCACCTGTATAATTAAGTACAACGTACAAGTGAGCATAAACGCTCATTCTTCATAAAGATAACATGAGAAATGGTTGCAAGAACCACCCATCAACCGCAAACGTCGTGCATTTACTTTACGACGGGTATCTTCATAAAAAATACCTCCTTTCACATGATAATATTATGTTATACGGTAGCTATAAACTTGTATCGCGACTAGAAAACATGATACCATTATTTGTGTTAAATAGCTTGAAAATATGTTAGTAAAGTTGATAAGAAAAATCCTGGTTTAACTCTAAACTTTTTCTGAATTAAACGATAGTTTATTCCTTATGACATGATCAGTAATGAATATTAGGGTACTGCTTTCGTCTGCTCTCGTATCGGCGACAATGACTATCTTGTTTCTCTTTTTCTCTTCTCTCGATCTCTTTGGATTGTGGAGTTGCATTGTTCTCACACAATTGAACCAACAAGACTATGTAACTGATAATTGTATTGTGAACCTGATTGGAAAAGAGTAACCAATGGAGTTTCATGCTCGTTCTTTTCCATAGGAATTTACACCTCGGAATGAGCAAATAGCTATACTTAAATTTAATATACTTCCTAGTCTAATTGAAATAAATGGTTTTGACATTGACTTATATTATAAGCGATATGTTGAGTCTCATTATATTATTGAAAGCTTTAGCTTTATTTCCTGGATATAGGCAGCTTTAAAGTTATTTGTATAAGCCAAATTCAGAACACCCTAGAAGATATCTAATCTTGATTATGACTGTAAGCATTTCCCAGAAAGTTAATATAACTCCAGATCCATAAAAACACCACCAAACAAAACCAAAAAATCGGGGCATGCATTTCAAAATAATATCAAACAAACGTAAAATTGTCGTTCCCTATATCAGCAATTACGGTTTAAATCTAACAAAGCGTTTGAGTATGGTTGGCGCACGAAAACGCAATTTCTACGGAACCCACCTTCTTGGTCCTGAAAGAGGAAAAACGCCTCATTAACGTGCCTCTGTAATTTCTTCACACACACACACTTTGTCACACAAACACGTAATTTAAACGATCACTCTGCAGTAAGATAACAGAAGATCAAATTGTAACAGGAACTGTATCAGTTTTTTTATCTATCACTAAATTTTGAGTCAGTTCACAGGTAAATGTTTATGGTTAGAATTGGTTACTATTTTATTTTTTTGATGATGTTTTTCATAGTATATTTAACTATGCCTTAAAACATTACTTCTATATTAAATAAGGGTAGTCAATTTTGTTACAATTACGTGAATACTGTTTCAGCTTCCTTACCCTAACTTTGACAATTTTGTTTAGCTTTTTACGAATTAGGATTTGCATAAGTTTATTTATAAAAATTTGCCTTCTGATGTCATAAATTTTACATTTGTAAGTAACACTGTTTTATTGTAATTAAAAGGGCACTACATCACTCGAAATATTTTGCAAAAAAATCGACATTATTTGACAATCGAGTTGGTATCGATTTGACATTGGTAAAAAAGTAAAAATTAAAACTCACCAGTCCTGGAAGAATTGTGCACCATTTCCGATTATAATTACCATCCATTTTAATAAAATCAATTATTTTAATATATCTACAAAAAGTTGTGAATTATTACTAAATCATGGTTTTGATTAAATTGGTAATGTTTTTGAATCAATTTACTTTTTCAATGTGCCGTGACGTTTCTTTGTCATCGTTGACTGTTCAATATTTTTTTCTATTTTTGATCATAAATAGGAATATTTGAAGGAAAGAGTTTAATATACCTATCGGATGGTAAATTTTTACATAGATAGATTAACATGGATTTTATATGCATACGGGCCCTGGGACGGCGAGCACAAGAACTCGCTCCCCAACCAGAACCAGAACCGAGCGTATCGTGAGCCGGTGATGCCGATACGGAGCCCCGAAGGACTTAACGGGTTTCTGCGGCTCGAAGTGCATAAGTAGGAACGGGTTGGTTTTTAGTCAATACGAGTCTGAGACTCCTTCGTGCCGAACCCAAGGCGAGAGAACTGGATGATATTCCTCCTCAAAAAAAATATGCATCATGTCTGTTCAGGTCCAAGGCAAATTAACTCTATATAGGCTATAGGCTATATAATCTACAAGTTTTAAAAAATATATAAAAAAAAATACAATCGTGTTTCTACCATTTTTTTAAACTAGAGAAAGTGTAGTATATCCTTTAACCAGGCTCTACTAAACACATAGCCCAAGGTTTATTTAGTTAAACAAGATTTATTAAAATTATAATCACGTGGATACTTTCAAATAAAAACTAAACAATCGCGTTTCTTTCATCTATCTCATTAACCCGTTAATCAAAGGCCTAAACTCCACCCAGTCAAAGGCTAATTATCATTTTTCTAAAACCGCTACAGAATATCAAAGTTTAACAGAAATTTGTTGACTTAGTTTTAATGAACTGTTACAATTTCACGCAATCCTTTAATGAACTGTTACAATTTCACGCAATCGCCATATAAAGTTACTTTGTTAGGATCAACGTCAGCGTGGATGTTACGTTGGCGTCACTTCAACAGTGGGCGACGTCAACATAATAATATTTATTGTTTAATTTAACCAAATCAGAACTCTGTTAGTTAGAATTTTGGAAGTACAGGTATTTTGGAAATGTATACGTTTTGTTAATTATCATGTTGGTTGTTACTCAAGACTCATGATGAATTACTTTAATTATTATTAAACTAGTAGATACCAGCGACTTTGTCAGCGTGGAATAGTGAGTTTGGATAGTTCTTCACAGCTCCTTCTTTGAAGGTGACAGCGTAATAATATGTAGCCTATATGTTGATCTGTTTGCAATATTCATGCAAAATTTGAAGTAATTCTATATGCAAACAACAAACAGACAAAAATCTTGAAAACTACATTTTTGGTTTCATTATCGATCGTAGATCACACCCCAGGTATTCTTTTAAAAAATATTCAATGTACAGTTTTGACCTTCCTACGATTTTATTATAATTATGTATAGATTACTTGTTGTACTTATTCATTTTCATGTCTCACGAGTATTACCCGCCGCATAGGTCAAGGGATGTACCGTAACAGGTATTGCAATGTGGGGGTTCCGAAGCAGGTTTATTAGAGGACTCGGAGACCCTTACAGGTGCTGGGGGTTCTACCGTTAAAAGGATTCACCCCGTCATCAAAAAAAAAATCTCCGGTGACCTACGTTTGTGGAAACCTTTAACAATTTTCTCGAGTCAAAGTCGGCAGTCGAAATCACAATACTACAACATAAATTGTTTGTTAACTATTTACATTTGTTAACTATATAAATTGTTTGTTAACTATTTATGTTTTACATAAAATAACATAACATCACGCCTTTTATCCCCGAAGGGGTAGGCAGAGGTGAACATTATGCCACTGTACAATGTAACACCCACTTTTCACTATTTATGTTGTGAGTCCCATGTAATAGGGGGTGAGCCTATTGCCATATAACGGGCACAATTCCAGACTCCGTGCTACTACTGAGGTTTTCAAAAACCCAGTAATACTTTGCCCGACCCGGGAACCGAACTCGAGACCCCTTGCCCTTGCAGTCGCACTTGCGACCACTTGGCCAACGAGGCAGTCAGTCAGTATTTATGTTTTAGTAGGTATTAAGAGAAGTTACTGTTGTATCTATCTATAGACTGAAATACTATACCAATGCATTTGTTTCATATATTTATTTATACATGAAATGCAAATACATGCTGTTGAATTTAACGGCACTATTTTAAACAGACATAACAATACTGTCTCCACATGATCAAAGAAACACTTAACGTTGTCTCCAAAGTGTCTATTATGGGATCAAAGTAAGGTAGTTGTGAAACTAAGCAGCTAAAGCAGCATTCTTCGAGCATTCAAAATGAGAGTTACACATACACGTGACACCCTCATTTTATTAGTTACTTTTTGGGTCCCATGTAATTCAAAATAAATCGCAAGGCCATAAACTGAACACAATTCTAAATTCCGTGATTATTCAACATTAAAAATAATCAACGGGATCCGGGAATCTAACACAAGACCTTTGCTTAGCAGTTACACTTGCAAGCAGTCGACTACTGAGACAGTATCTACATATATCTATATATATCTACGATCTATTGTAACATACCTACATTGACGAAATAAACAATATTTCTATTTTATTATTTGTATTTGTATTTGTTGTCACGCCATAACTTGAGACTGGCTGGACCGACTTAGCTGATTTTTTGATAGAAAAAAAAATCCTAAAAATCGTATGGGGGAAAACGGGAGTGCGCGTACAAAGTCGCAGGCAGAAGCTAGTCTATAATAAAAACGTAGGGAAGTGAAAGCTGTACATTACAGCAGCGAATCTCACGCCTTTGCTACGTCGACTTCACTCAGCCGGCGATGTAAGCAAAAAGCATTTTTCTAGTAATTAAATTCCTAGTTTAAAAGTTCCCTACACAGTAGACAGGAAATATTTAAAAAGAAATGCCTTTGAGATAGCAAAATCTTTTTGAAGATCACTACGGACTGATATGTTTAGTATATTTCGTACCCAGTGGGATGAAACGAGTATTTTTTCTAGATTAAATCAGTGGGCCGCGGAGTGCAGTAAATTTTGTCATGATTATATTATGTTCTGTCACACAATGTTGTGCAAGCTATGGTGACCATGTTGCGCGTTATTTTCGAAATAATGTTTTTTACTTTTTCGTTATGTATTTTTCGTCGTTTAGTTTTTCGGGTTAGGCGATGAATTATATGTCTGTTACTATGTTTCACTTAAATAATTAAAGATATTCGCTGCGTTAAATTTGTTTGTACCTCTTAACCCTCCCTCTACCCAGGGCTACTTATATTTTGTCATTCATGCATATAATTGATTGTTTTTCATTATTTTATTTATATTAGATTAATTGTGTATACATAATGAATAGGTAATTTAGATTTATTTTACAGGGTAATACTATCTTTTACCGTAGATACGGTAAAAAAGTGCAGTATTATTCCGTGAAATGTGTTATTTATTTTGGGAATCTATCAAGTTTATTTCATTCTTTTTATAAAAAAATATTCTTAAACTATTTAAACTATTATATCATATCAATCGTAATAAAATCGTATACTTCAACTTATTTAACGACAACACAATAACAAACCACTTGGTACAATCAGATCCTTAACTTAATTTAAAGGAATGCCAGCGAAACGTTGAACGCGCCGTCTCCCTACTCTAAGCGAAGTGATAAATTAAAGCTTAGCATGGTCATGACGTTTGCTCCGGCCGTTATATTTTTATTTAGACAGGGATGGATTAAACGTAAAGAGCGCCCTCAGCAAGCACTACACTGGCGCCCCTAATTTATTTTTGGCGCCACCGCACTGTCTCTACGCGCACGCGCGTCTTACGCATCGCGGTTTAAACCTGGCGCCCTAGTCACTTAGGTTCCCTTACCGATAATACGGCTCTGTTTAGACTAGTATGTGCCTGTCGCCTCGCCTGCCAGACATTAAGACTCGGATTATGTTCGGCTCTCCCTGACCAGACACTATTTCATTAAGATTAAATGTTTTGTTATCTTGTTGTTAGTATGTTTTTTCTTGACATATTGCCAGGAGACGTTTTTGTGTGTTTTGTGTTTTCTAGCTAGAAGTGATGGTTTATTCAGTAGACTTGAGTACGTTTAGTGATAAGTCATATAATCCTAAACGAACGGAATTTATAGGATAAATAGACGTAGTTATAGATGATAAAGTCAGATTTTACCATGTTAAATAAACAATAAAAAATAATAATCAAAGCTATACAGAAATACTCATAGTAAAATATATTTTGCACTTCAGTGTCAAACCTGCGACTTATTAACTCTCAGTGTTAGTAATAAGTAGCTAGATGTCGTGTTACTCTTAATATTTTCAAATTTAAAATGACATCACTATTACTAAGAGAGAAAAAAGCACTAAAATCTTGAAATAACAACTTGTCTAAAGTCATTAAACAATTAACAAAGTAAACCCCTTCACATATAACTTGAAGTAACTAAATACTCAAGTAGAGATATGAACAATGGCGCTTCTACATGCTCAACTTAAACTTAAGTGTCGAAATATTTCAACACATCTTAAAGCACTAGACTTAAGCTGTGCAAAATGAACGACTGTGTTATTTTAAAGACGCATGTGTAAAGACTAGAACTGTTACTGTTGTTATTTAACATAATATAGTAAAGTTGAACTTCACTGTTTGTATTATTGTAGTGGTAGGGAAAGAAAAGTTAAATTATAGACTTTCATCATTTAAACAGGAGAATACTTATCATTTGTCTTTAGCTGTTTATCATCAAAGAAATAATCGTTTTCACTCTAACCCCGCACACAAACTGCCATTTTTTATGGGTTAAGCCTGTAAACGAGCAGACGGATCACCTGATGGTAAGCAATCGACGCCGCCCATGCACACCCAGAACACCAAGGCGTTACAAGTGCGTTACCGGCCTTTTGGAAATTAAGGAATTTGAGGATTGTTAGAGATTCAGGGATTGGGGAGATTGGAGAAG